GAGAAAGGAAGTTTTACAGGCAGACTCCTCTGAACTAACAGCATGAAGAGTAGCTGTGAGCCAGGGGATTTCTACTCCTGACAGGCCTACTGTCCAAACTGTCCAAACTACTGTCATGTCAGGAGTCTGCAGACCTGTCTGGACATCTTGGTGCTATTTGAAGCCATCAGGTTAGCCGAGATAAATGAAGAGCCACACATTATCAAGCATGTCAGTTTGCTCACTGTCTCACAATTATTTTGAATAAGGATTCTAGTCCTTAAAGAGCCTTGGAACAGCTGAGCAGACACAAGGTTTATATTTTGCTCGTGGCAACCTAAAAAAGTTCTACCCAAGACTCACAAATCTGAAGTCACAAATGTCCATTATCTTAATTCCAAATTCAAGCACCAACACCTTCTCACAGGTGCACATGAAATCACTGTCGAAGATCCCAGCTTTTAATGCCCTACATTTTATGCAGGATAGCACTCCAAAAAGCAGCATGGTCTCAGTACCAGGTGGGGTTCAATTAAGTGCCACAGGAGAGAGTGTCTTGTATCAATCAGAAATAAATTGCCCCCGATCTTATTAAACATATGAGATCTAACATGACAGGAGCAGAAAGAGTAAACTGTCAGTAAACATAAATATAAGCCCCCTCTAAAAACTAACATACTGAATCATTTTGTGATACAGAATCATTTTGTGATAAAGCAGAAACAATAAAATTGGATTAGCAAGGCTTCAGTTCTCACTATATATTTAAAATTCTATTTTTAAATGCAGTTACCTTAATACTGGCCATGGATAGAGGTTTTTTTCAGTTCCAAAACTGTAGGTTTCCATATCCATGGGTTTCCCATCCATACCTTTACAAGACTTGCAATCCAAAGAAATTAAAGGACTTGCTGATATAACACAAAGTGAAACTCAAATCATATGGAAACCATGTGACACAGTTAATGATTTGCTACCTGCAAAGAACTTTCCTTCTTATGATTGTATTACAAAAATTGTATTCTAAGAATTTGGTATAGAAGTCCCTGTTAATAATAAATACCATGTTTAACAGATTATAAATTTCTCTTCAATAAAATAATTTAACAATTTTCTTAATTAAAGTAAAAAAAAAATCACTTTGCCTCTATGTTTCTGTGTCTGTATATTCATTTTAAAATTTAGACTTTAGTTCGTTAGACTTATAGAGCAAAAGCCAATAAATATTTCTGGAAGCACCAGTGTATGTGTGTGTGATTATATGCATATGTTTGCTTATATATATTCATTCATTTATTTATATACTCACCTATATATCCCAAAGATTTATGCAAAAAGAACAAAAGAATAAGCTTATTGTCTATAATTAAAAACTGTAATACAATGCACTTTAAAAAAATCCTTTCTGTGTAATGATGCATGAAGAGATCACACGTGGCCAAGGACAGGTGATTAAAATCATTTTCCGCTGGTAAAATTACAGGTGTTTACAAGAGTCTGCTCCAGCTGAGCTGTTGGTACTCAACATGAAATTTTTATGCATGTTTAAAACAGCTGCAGGGTACAAGGCACAGGTGTGATTCTGCCTCTGTGACTGCACTGCACAGGATGATGCTCACTCAGCCTGTAGCTTTTCTAGCTCTTAGGACAGGAGGTACAATCCTCAGTGTCTTCACAACAAACGTGCTATCAACCTTTGTCTTTTTTTTGTGTGCCTTCCTGCTTCTCCCTTACACTTTAGAAACATCCTAGTCCTAAGCAGTCCTTGCAGTGCTTGAAAGACCATTAAGTCAGCCAAGTCACAAACTCACTGCTATGACCTTTGTTATAATTTTAAAAAATTACAAAGACTCTGTGGCACAGAGAGAGGGGAAAAGTTTGTGAACCTGATTCTTGGAGTGTAAATCAAGCAACCCAAAGATAAATTAGTGGCTGGATGATTTATTTGCTTTTTGGTTTGACCTGGCATCAAAGCAAGCACAATTCTCAATTGTGACAAATCTCCTATAGTATTCAGTACATATCCTTTTATTTGCTTCCAAATGTGGTAGGAAGGACACTTCAAGTATTTATAGGCATTAATGAGCCTTCTCCTCTCCAGACTGGACAGTACCAGGTCTTTCAGCATTTCCATATAAGAGAAATATCCCAGGCCCTTCATCATCCCCCCTAATCATCTCCCACAAACCTGCTGATCTGACTATTTTTCATTTTCTATACAATGTTGCCCCTCCATGCAGGAATCTTGAAGCCCATGACCTTTCTGCAAAATCTGCTTCACTTCTTTTTGGTTTAAGGTCCTTTTACTTATCTCTGTACCAGATAAAAAGAAAAAAAATACAATGAAACAGAAAGAAAAACTCTGCAACTAAAAAGTCATCTCAACAATATATTAATGTGCCAATGGCTATGAAGATTAAGTCTCTCAAGACATTTTCTATCAATTGATTCTGACTAATTATTGCAGAATGATATGCTTGTGCTTAGTTCTATTAGGCTATCACACAACCACAGTGGAGGCATTTATCCTCAACATTTACGCTTAAAATGTGAAAAAAAGCCAAATGCCAGTACTCAAAGATTTCTTGCGTGCTAAAACTTCGAACATTGTGGGATTTTCGAAAACACCACTCTGTGTCTCATGTATCTCATAGCTGTTACAAAATTAATCATTGTATATAACCAACAATCTAATTTTAGGTTTGTTTATTTATTTATTATTTAGAAAACTCAGCTGTTTTGTTTTTTTGTTGTTGTTTTTTTTTTTACTTATAGCCTACCTGCTTCAGAACATTTTTCCCCTCAAAAATTTAACAATGCAAAACAGTCAGAGAACCAAAAGAACTTGAAGGTATACATTCATCTTTTCTTGTACCACATCAGAGCATAATAGCAGGACTTTCACTACATGCCTATTAACCTCTGTATTATAAGAGAAACAACAGATTTTTTAAACAGATGGGCTTGTGCAGGAAATGAAAATGATCAGAGAACCTGTATTTTGTTCTCCAAAGGCATCATTGCTGCCACCTACAGCTGAAACAAATTCACAGCTCTTGCCTGACATCAGACAATGCTTCAATACAGAACAGCAAAAGTAGTAACAAGTATTCCCTGGAGAACAAGTCTACAGCTCCGCAGACAATTCTTAATTTGGGGGGAAAAAAAGCCTTGCGATGTCAAAAATAATGGCATCTTATTGAGTTATCAATGACATATAAGATTCAAATACATAATTTTTGGAAATCCTATCTACACATTCATAGTTTTCTTAAAAATAGAAAACCACTTAAATACACAACTTGCCTTGGCTTAGGTAGTAGCTTCTTCTAATGACTAAACTAAACTTTACCTGAAGATTGAAAATGGGTTGAATGTACCAATATCTATACAAATATGCTACAAAATAAGCATAAGAAGGTACCTCACGATTACGTAAATTCAGGTCTAGTCACAGTTTCTTACAAAAGAGCATACAGGCAAATGATATGAGGAGAGACTAAAATATTGTGTATGGGATTTTCTTGATTATTTCAGCATCATACCTGCACACATAAAAGCTTCTTTCCTTTAACTTGAAACATCCCTTCTGACGTCTGTAGTTCATGTTTTAATGAGCATGAAAATAAAATGTAATGGTTTTATAACTCAAATAAGTAAATGGGTATCTCAAATAAGTAAAGATTTATCAGATAAATCAAGACAATTGGCTTGAAGGCCTAAATATAGGGATTGTCAGCATCAGTGGTACCGTTTCTGGCTGTGGCCTTGTATTGCTGTGATCACCTTATTACCGGTACCATATGAGATTTTATGTAAGTATAAAACAATCAGACAATATTTGAAATTGTAATTTCAATTACAATTAGTAAAGTTACTCACAGCAATATTACCTGCTTTTATTTCAGGTTAAATTATGTTTATTCTTCATTTACATGTAGTTTAAGGAGAGAACAAGTCTGCCCTATTTCCTTTAACAACGTCACTTGTAAGGCAATTAATCAGGCGTTTCAGAGGAGATGCTGCAAAGCCAAACAGGCAAAATTCAGCACCTTCCAGGATCTACAATGAATGCTGCTTGCAAACACGTTATTTCTATTTGGATGACAGTGACATAATTTCACAAAATCGCAGAATGGCTGAACCACTGGAGTTCGTGTTTGCAGCCCCCAACTCAAGCAGGGCCACCTAGAGCCAGTTGCCCCGGACCGTGTCCAGATGAGTTCTGAGCATCGCCAAGGATGCAAACTCCACGACCTCCCTGGGGCCATTGTGCCAACTCTTGGTCATCCACACAGTGAAGAAGTGTTTCCTGATGTTCAGAGTGAACATCCTGCGTTCCAGCTTGTGCCCATTGCCTCTGGCTCGGCACTGGGCACCGTGACAGGACCTGAGGCAATTGCCCTGTGACAGAGCCTGGCTCTGTCCACTGCACACCCTCTCTCCAGCTTTTTACACACGTATATGAGATTTTCCTGAGCCTGTTCTTCTCCAGGCTGGACAGCTGGAAAAGCTCTCTCAGCTTTTCCTCACAAAAGGGATGCTCCAGTCCCTTCATCACCTTCGTGGCCCTTTGCTGGACACCCTCCAGTAGCTCTCCAATTTTATTAAAAACTGAATCCTACTTAGCTCCTATGTGCCGTGCGGGAGCACACGCAGCTCCTACACACGCTGTAAGTGGGCGTGTTCCTGCGATACAGAGAAGGCGCATCTGTCTCTTTACAACTAATTTCTCTGGAAGAAGCCGGCAGAGCACGGGCATTCCTCTCACTGGGCAGCAGCCAGGCACCATCCCGCACGGAGAGCTGCACTCCACCGAGAACTGGCCTCCTCCACGAAGGAGAACTTTATCCGACGGGATCACCGCAGTGTCTATGTTAGCAGCGGGGCCCTCCCCGCCCATCCCCGGCCGGCCCGCCCGCCGTGCAGCGGAAGGAGCCGCCTCACGGGCGGGCGGAGTCGCGGCGGCCGGCACCGGCAGGCGGAGCACGGGCAGGCGGAGCACGGGCAGTTGAGGCTTCCGTCCTCCCGTCCCGGGTCCGTCGTGAGGGGAGCGGAGCCGGCAGCCCTGGAGCGCTCGCTGCAGAGATGGTGTCGCTGCTGCCGCGCATCGAACGGCTCTCGTCGCGGGTGGTGCGGGTGCTGGGCTGCAACCCGGGGCCCATGACCCTACAGGGCACCAACACCTACCTGGTGGGCACCGGGCACAGGTACCGACCCTGCTGGCAGAACGGGGCAGGGCAGGGCACGGCGGGCGAGGCTCCGCTGCCCCGGCCCCGCTTGGGCACCGTGCGCTGCCTCCAGCTGGAGAGGCCGCTACCGGCCTCTTCCCAAATCCCTTAGTCAGGGTTTAAAAGAGGAAACAAACCGTACCGCCTTAAATTTTAGGAGCTAGTTCCCGGAAGCGGTTTGGGCGGGCGGGCTGTGGAGTCTCGGCCCGGGCTGAGGCCGGGAATTCAGGCGGTGGCTTCTGCCACTTGTCGCGGAGCTGTAAATGTGTGGCCTGCATTGTTTACTTATCCCACACTTGAAATTGTTACGCCACGGGGGTGGAGTATCAGGAGACAAAAAGTGGCGTCTGGATATGGAGACATCCATTATTGCTAAATTTTCATCCGTTGGCTTATTTTGTTAATATTACTTGGCTGTCATATGAACACTCTTTATTCTCTGGTGTGTGTCTCTCCTTCTCTTTTTTGTGGTCCGTATGTAGAAGAGTCCTTATTGACACCGGGGAGCCAGCTATTCCTGAGTATATCAGCTGTTTAAAGCAGGCACTGTCAGAGTTCAACATCGCGATTCAAGAAATTTTAGTGACACACTGGCATCGTGATCATACTGGTGGAATACCTGATATCTGCAAAAATATCCCAAATGGTAGGCCAGAGATTTCAGATATTGTTGAAAATGTTAACTACACGGCAAGAAAGACATTAACTGAATGCTTCTGTGCAAGTCAACTGGATTGTTCTTCTGGAATTGCTGTATAAACTACATGCAATTTCATGATTCTGCTGCAGTATGTAGATTGAGAGCAATGAATAATCTGAATGTAATAGTTGTGGTACTACATGTTTTCTTCAATACCTGTGCATACCTTCATAGTGAATTTTTCTAATGAAAACCTAGATTACTATCAGCATAGTATTAAGAGATGTGAGAAAAACTTGATACTGCTTCTGTTTTACTTGGACAGCAATGATAAATTTATTGTTATTTTCACTTTTGTAAAAACGAATAGCTTGAATTTTGAAAAACTGTGTATAAATTTGGGATTCCTTACAGGAGTCCATTAGTACTTGTGGATAAATTCATAGGCCTCAGAACACGAGGGGAAAGCAGTAGGGCAGTGTGCAAGTAAAGTCTGATCAAAGAATGTGTATTCCATGTAGATAAACAGTAAAAGATGTTTCTGTGTTGGTATCTGAGAATAAGCAGTATGGATAACGTGATAATTCATAACAATGTTGGACTTTGTCATGAGCTTTGTCACAAGCTTAATTTTGTAAGGTTGCCAGGTGGTTATCTGCAACAAGGCCTGGGCACTACTGAAAACAATTGATGTCTTGGAGACATGGGTATATTGGTGTCTTAGTGAGGATTTTGGGCTTGCCAGCCTATCAGTGTGGTTGTGAAGAGTAGCAAGGGATATAAAAGCGTTTCTGGGTTGCTGTCTATATCTGTTCCAACCAAGATGTTCGTATTTTATGCACTGTTTGGAATGATAAAAGCTGAGAGAAGTTGCAGGTCAAAAAGTCTTTATCCAATTTTAGGCAAACGTTGAGTGATGCTTCTGTGAATCATAAAGCAAAATGTGAGTGCAGAAATCTTAGTGGCATTGTAAAAACTTGGGGGAATTTACTCATGAGTCAAGAAGTAACATTTGTAAAAGACCGTAATTACTGATCTTTAATAATTTAATTTGTGATTTTTTTCCAACTTTGAATTTGTTGCTGGTACAGAGTGCTGTACTCAGAATAAGTTGGCTTTCACTATTTAGTGGTTTTGGCTCTGGAATAAAGTTGCTCTACAGATATAAAGTTACTCTACAGAATTTGTTGTTTCTAGTTTTGTATTCATACTGTGTGATAATTGATAGTATTTATTCAAAAAGTAGCCTGTCTGTGGAATTACCTTTGTTAGTGACAAATTCAAAATATAATTTTCTTTGCTTCCCTTAAATTTCAGACTCGGAATATCGCATATGTAAGCTCCCTCGTGTCCCTCACTGTGAAGAAACAATAGAAGGGGGACATAAATATTTTTATCTTAAAGATGGAGATGTGATACAGACAGAGGGAGCCACACTCAGGTAACCTTGAATTTCTGCAAGTTCTTTTTTCTTCAGAATTCTGACATGTACATGTATCCTAATTTCTAATAATTGCCAATCTATACATCTAATCTTTTCAGCACTCATGTGTAGACTTCCTATCATGATCCAGCAAGATATGTTAATACAAAGACATTGTTTTTATGAATGAGAATTATCAGAAATTAGCCTTTAGATTTAGTCTTTGGACTCAGCAGAGAAATTAACAGTATTTCCATAGAAAAACAGTTTCTCTAGGAAAATCAAATAGTATTTTACATGCTTTCTCATCACTCTTACATAATTAGTTACTATTAAAATTGTGGAAGCCTGTGGTAGTCTGGCTGGATTATTTAGCATGCCTTTCTTTTTACTTTAAAAATATTTCCCTAGGAGGCTCTAAAACATTTAATACTTAAAATGTCAAATTTTAGGCCTTGAACCTATGAGGTTCTTGTAGGGTGCCAGTTTTGGAGGACTTCTTTCTGTGGTCCATACTGCCTATAACGTTAGTGTGAATGAGTGTGAAATGGAAAGCTACTGTGCCTTATGGAAATGCACAATAAAAAGGTCTGGCCATTCTGTTTTCAGACTCCTTTCATTAACAAGGCATGATTCTTACAAGGAAAAAGTTTGCTTATTTTCCTCAGTTTAGATGAGAACTATATCCCACTTGTAGAATATGTCACTCGGTTGATTGGAAGGAAAAAACACATTTAAAAAGAAAAGTGATGTATTTTGTCCAAAAGTAAAAATATAAGTAGAAAGAGTATTATATTGCATACTGAAGACCCTTCACTACTCAAAGTGGCCCATGTTTGGACAAAAATTTGGAGATGGAAAATAATTTTTTTAGTTTCAATCCAAGACGGTCAAAGATTAGCACATTTTGAAATTTGGGGTGGTGGAGGGCCAGGCATAGGCATGTTTTGTCTCAGACATTCTGACTTGTGACAGGGAAGTCATTGCCAGGGAGAGTCCCCTGGAGGTGGGACAGTAGGGTCCTGAGCCAGCTTCCTTTTCTGCCTGCAGATGCATGCCTTCATCAGTCCCCTACCCCAGCTCAGTGCCTCAGGCTATCTGCTGTTGTGGGAGTTGGGAGCTTATAGAAGGGTGTTTTAAAAATGCAGGCTTGTAGCCAGCACCTGTGAAAAGTTTGTTGTGACAATTGGAAGTCTTAGCCAACACTTCTGAGAGCAAATAGTGTGCCTGTTATACCAGAAAGCATGTGAGTTCCCAGGTACATAGTCTGGTGTCCTTGCTGATCCTGAAGAGAATTTATAACAAACATCACAGTCCTGCCGGTGGGTTGTGACGGGTAATCCAGCCAAACTTTATGGTTCATTAAAAGCAGGTATTCTCAGTTGGGTTAATTCAATGACCACTTTAAGGATACTCTTAGACCCACCACTGGTTCCTAAACAGCAGTATCTGTATGTTAAATTTTAGTTAGCAACCTTTAGGTTTTCAAGGTGTGCCAAAGCAAGGGGGCAAGGCACGTTGGCAGCACCTCTCCACACACTGTGTGGCATTCTCTGTCTGCTATTTTTTCATATTAGTGGTTTGGCTGCCTGGTAAAATTTCATCAAGAACCGAAGGATATCATTTCCCAAAGGTGAGCTACAGCCCATCAACTCGATTTTGATGATGGCTCACCTGCTTTCTGCTGAGTTCAGTATTAAATAGGAGCTGGAAGTCATTGTGTCAGATGATGCAGCACCTGTGATCTCCCAGCCCTGTATCAACGTGGCTGGGAGCTGTTTAGCCTTGCCCTTAGACCACACTTGGCACCAGCTCTGTCACTTCCTGATCACTGCTTTGATGCATCTGCCATTACCAAGATTCTAGTGAATATCAGCAGTGATGGTTGTTGGAGTTGTGTTACTTTCAGTCTGCATCAGCCTTGGTGTAAGGCCCTTCTGCCTTCAGAAATCCTCGTGAAAGGACACCCCAGTGCAGCTCCTAGGCAGCCCAGGTTACCATAACTGTATACACACACACTGTCCCTTTGCTGCATGTGAATACAGTGCTCATCCAAGCTATGGGTTCTTAATCCTTCCCATGCAGGTGTTTAATGACTTGCATGTGGAACAGCTGAAAGACCATGGTTTTTTGTATTTCACAGCTGTGCTCCACTGTGCTATGGGACTTTTAGGGAAAAATTAATTTTTGGAGACTGAACTTTATCTGGATCAGATTCAGAAGTTTGTAGTTAATTTCTAAAAGAATAGATATCCTTACCCTCCTTCCAAAGTACAGTGTGTATGTCAATAACTCCAAGTGTTTCAATCTGGAAATAACAGGTCAATTTTATTTTTTAAGCTTCAGAATAAAGCCCTCTATAACAGAAATTCTGCATGGCTAGTCAGCTCCTTTAATGCAACTTGTATTATGGTATGTCGTGTAGGGTAAAAGCATGTTAGAGATGATTTGTGTTCTCTACATGGTGCAGGAAAACGGATTGGGATTAGGCAAAGTGATACCTGCTTTTCAGCCTTTTTTGGTCAGTTGTTTCTGTTTCTTGTTATGGGCTGTGCAAGTGTATTATTTTACCATTATTTGTTCTGGCTTCAAAAATGAAGTATATGTGCTGTATGAAAAACAAGTGCTTTTTTTGTTCTTTAAACAGAGTTTTATATACACCAGGACACACTGATGATCATATGGTTTTACATCTAGAAGAAGAAAATGCTGTATTTTCTGGTGACTGTATTTTAGGGGAAGGAACAACAGTAATAGAAGACCTGTCTGATTACATGAAAACCTTGAAAAAATTGTTAGAAATGAAACCAGATTTGATTTATCCAGGTAAGTGGTTTTGGTTTTAACTGCTCTCTTTTACTGTGTAATTTTTAAATATCTTCTCTAAGAATTTGAGAACTATTATTACAATCAAACATCGTTCCTAATGTAACAATTCCATTTAATAAGCAGTAAGCTAAGCTGACTTTGTCGTGGTGGTTTGCAAAACTTGAAAATTTCTGAAATTTCTCCATTTTGGGGTGGGGCTTGTCTTTCTGTGCCCAAAGACTCCAAGGGGCCAAAATCTTTCACTGTTGGAATCATACCATTACCAGTTTTAATTTTCTTGTATTATTCTACCCCTGTGCTTCAATGTTATCTTGGAAAAAAAAATAATAGTTGTTCTTTTGTTCCTTTTCATCCCCAAATATACTGTCAATGTGAGTAACTTAGTAAGATTTTGAGAGAGTTGTGCATCCTTTGCAGTATGGATTAATCACACGTTCATCTTGGAAAGCTGCAGAACTGTAAAGTGGTTGTCTTAGTTAATGACTTAGGTTAAATTTGAAAAATAGCCAAGGGGCCAAAAATGTTCTAGAAATAAGTTGCCTATTCATTCAGTCTATGGCTTTCCTTTAATTCTTTTCCTCTTTCTCCTCCAAACCTTGGGAATGCATTTACTTTTCATATATACCACATGTCTCTTTGACAAGACTACATTTTAAGAAGTCATTATGTTGCTAAGGTTTAAGCTTCTCATTTGCTTTTTCAGAGCTACATCTCAGGATTTTTTCTGACTTTTTCTGTTTCATCTTCAACCTGTCATTCCAAGCTACTGTATGTTCTCAGTTGTGCCTTGTTCCATTAGCTATGTTTAGCTTACTCTCTCGTGTTCACTCTTAAAATAGCCTTCTTTTAGGCTAAAAGATCTAGGCATAGAAATGCTGTTTAAGAAAAACATTCTTACGTATTCCATAGATGTGGAGGTTGGTGCAGACAGAATAATGACTTGGTCATATTTATTGACTTAAGTACTGTGAGAGCTAACAATTTTTTAGCCTCTAGAATCTCAATCAATTTCTTTCTTTCTTAATACCTGCAAAACAAAGTCTGTTTCTCTAACTGAATTTCTGCCTTCCAAAATCCCATATATGCCAAATTCTGTTTGGTTTATCAGTTTTATCTGTTGTATTTCACTCTGTTCTTAATGGTTATGTATCCAGATTACACATTCACCAAGGCTGAACATCTGTGCTGTTATTTGTGTTTGTTACTGTTTTAACTGTGTTCATACTGGACTTGCAATTAGGAAGCCAATCTGACATGGTGCATTTCCAGTGATGATAGCTAAGTATTGAGATGGTTTGGAGCTAACTTCTTTCATCCATGCACCTCATGGATGTACATGCAGCTGTGCTATTGCCCAATCAGAGCAATTGTTGTTCCTGTTGGGTATAACTACAGCAGAAATTTGCTTTACTAACATGTTCTATATAAGCCAAGCGCACTGTGCTGCAGTGTTAGGTCTTAATTCTTGAACTCTTTTCCTTTCCCCCACCCTTGCTTTAGCGCTCATGTGGTAGCCTCAGAATAGCATGAATTTTTGTAACAAACTGACTGCTGGCTACATGAGAGTAGGTGAATTTTGTCAATCTTAAACATTAAACATGTTCCTTTTTAAATTTAATGTGGGAATGACTTGAGCACAACAATCATGATATCTAATTACAGATAATATTTGATGAGAATCCTTGGGACAAGAAAAGGGCATTTTAGTCAGCAGAGGGCTCCCCATCCTGTAGTAATAAACAATGTTTCTTGGTAATACAGAAAACATGCTACTGGAATTAGAAATCTTTGTTAAGATTTCATAAACCAATTGTTTTCTTCACTTCTGTCCTTTGTGCTGTAATTTAAAGTAATAGAATCTCTCACTCCACAGTGTGTTATGAGGAAATAATATTGATCTGTCTGATATTAAAGCTGAATTCATGGAAAGACAGTCATATTTTGAGACTGCTTTTCATATGCTCGGAAACTTTTTAATATGTATTCAGATATTAATCCACTTATTTATTAATAAATAAATAAATAACTGTCCCTGAAAAAAATTATGGATGGGAAAATTCCACATCTGGTTTTGGTTCCAAGCTTTCTGAGATCATTTTAATGTACATATATGCATACACAACAGCTACAGATCAGATGATGTAATGGATATGAAGTCCTTTTGCAAAATGTGGATTCCATTCCAGCTTCTGACATTGTTCTTGTAGTCTAAGTCAATTAAATCACTTGGAAGAGTAGGGCCAGGTTTTAAGAATGCCTTGTGATTCCATGTGCAGCCCTTAATTTTGATTACTTTAGTGAGACTTCTGTCATTAGAGAATGCAAGAGAATGACAGCTAACATTACAGTCTCTGCTTTGTATATCTTACTATGTTTTTTCTAAATTCTAAGTTTTGGGTGTATTGTACTGTTACCATTTGGTAACAGTAGAGATACTGCTATACTTTTAATTTATTTTGTAAGGAAAAATAGCTTCATATTAAATATGTTTGAAATAATTAAATGTGCCAGTATAGTTTTCTATTTACACATTACATATCTTGTATTTATAATACTTACTTAAACAAGGAAGGTTTCAATGTATACTTAGTAATTTCAAGCTTGCTGAAGTGAGTGTGTAAGTTGAGATATTTATAAATATTTTGACTTACAAAGGATAGATTCCTTTGACATTTCAGTTCAAAACATGAAAAATCAGTTGCTCTTTTTCTATAAACTGCCTGTCCTCAGGCAAAATAAGTTTTTATTTTAAAAGCTTGAAAACTAAAAACCCATTTAATCAGTAAACCCAAAAGTACAAGTAAAGAATATGGCGATTTTTTTTAAATAGTCAGAGAACCTCAAATGAAACTGATTCTGATGATACCAAATAAGTTCTAAAAGTTATGGTTTTTTAGAGTAATTTCTTTTCTGCTAATTTTATAAATTACTTAGAGTTTACACTCAGAGGGCAGAGCTGGAAGTTGCTGCTGCTACTTCAGGGGAGTTTTACAAGCAAAGAAATAGGAAACTTTCCTATAAAAAGCATGTGAGGAATATTTGTGCAAGTCAACTCCTCTATAGCTAACACAGGAAGTTTAATTTCTATTCACGTACCTCTCATGGCTAAACAATATTTTCTCTGTCATTTTAATGTACCATGAGACAGTATTTGATTTTTCATAAAGGTTAGTGCTTTACCAATTAAGCCTTTTCATAATGTGATTCAAAGACCTATCAGTAAGTTGAACATTTCTGGTCTGCCACAATTAGTCCAGGAAAAAATGTGTTTTGGTTATTAACCACGCAGACATAAACTGATCCACTTCTAACTTTCCCTGTGCCTTCCATTTTTCTTGCCCTGACACATTCTGACTGTCTCACTTACTTGTCTTCTATTAATTTTTTTATCATACTCACGACACTGTTTTTAAAGGCATAAAATACAATATATGAATCAGTTTTGAAGACTTGTTTGGGAAAATTACCTGTCACAATTTAAGAGGTCACCTTGGTGTTTGCCCCAACAGGACAGTGAGTCCTTTGCATCAGCCATTATTGTTCAAAGGCCAGTATCAATTTAAATCATTAGTATCAATATCCTTTAGAGAGGGGAAGACAGGCAAACAGAGATAATACAATAATCTGAATCTCATCTTTTGAATATGTTCAGCAGTGAGCTACTTTTTTCTAATGGCCTAAAGTAGTCTTCCCTTGCTTTCCTTATTCCATCTGAAGTATTCCCTTTTCCCTGTTCAGACTTTTAGTATCCTAATTCTTACTTTCCATCTTAATGCTTTGCAGATGCAGACTGTAGTACAGACATTCAAACCTTTCTCTTATGACTTTTAAATCTACTGGAGTTTACATAAGAATGTTTCAATTATTCAGTAGGGTACTTAATTACAAATGTAAGTAATAGTGCTCTGGTACATGTGTTTTGATTTTTAGGTCATGGCCCAGTAGTACGTGATGCAAATACTAGAATTCAGAACTACATTTCTCACCGACTTGCACGTGAACAGCAAATTCTAAATGTTTTCCAGAAGAATACTGGGAAATCATATACATCCTCGGAGCTTGTAAAGCTAGTATACAAGGTAATTGCTGATTAAAAGCTTTTAGTTCAAACTAAAGAAAATTGAGGTTAGGTTCATAAAACTTGTATGTAACAGTGTTGGTCTTTGAGTGAAAATCATGGTGGTTTTTTAAAAGGGATAAAAAGTATTTCTGGCTGTTCAGGGTTCACTTATGACTGTGCCTTTAAATTGTCCTGTTTAAGCACTTAATTGGAGTGAGGCCCACATGGTTCTTACAAGCTTATTTAACTATCCAGGTCTTAGGCATGGTTTCATAAGACTAAGCAAAAATAAAATTGTAATTCTTGGTTCAAAGTGAAAAGTACAGCATGATCAGTGTGCAGGAGGTTACAGGTGAGCTGCAGTTCCACAGAGAAGGATATTTCAAAATACTCAGCTACACTGACAACCCAGGACAGACCAAGCTCAGAAGAGGAGTCTTCTTAGTGCTGGCCAAAGTTTTCATCGTACAAATGGATAATGCAAAGTAAACAAAAATGCGTTGCTAGACTACTCATTTAACTGGTGTAAAATTGATTGACTCATCTTGGTTTCCTGTTTCCTGAATGTTCCCATACTGATTCAGAAGAGGAAATTCTGTGGTAATAAACCATGGGTTCCGTATATTGAAAAAATAATTGATGGATATTTAAACAAATACAAAATGCATATTTTTTTGTTCCCATTAGGAAATCCCTGAAAATTTACTTCTAGCAGCAGAACATAACCTCCTAGTCCACTTGAAGAAGCTGGAAAAAGAAGGACAAGTGTGTAAGTAGTGGATGGAGTGTGGAAAGAGGGTCATTTTCATTTTGATGTTTTATGCACTAATTCTCGTGTTATTTTAGTTCATTATTTTCTTGGGGGGGAAAAATGCAATTTTTTGCAGTAGCTTTAAAGCTACTTCAGACAAATTGGAGTAGAGTAATATACAGAATGGTTGTTCAGTATTTCCAAACTTTTAGAAAGTATTTTGCTAAGTATTTGAGTGCTTAGAGCTCAGATTACTGCAATGCATATACCTTTAAATTTTTATATAAAACATACCACAGAATACATTCCATTTATACCTTCCTGTATTTTCTGAAATTCATACCTAAATAGGCATGTACACAGCATTTTATGGGTCTACATTTAAGTTTCTGCCCATGCTAAATATTTTGCATATTTTTGTATGTATGTGTTATAAAGACAGTTATAATCATGCAGTGTAAATTTTTACAATTTCTGATTAGCACAGTACCTAAGGAGAGCTGCTGCATTTAGTTTCTGTTTTTACGTTGGGCCTTTACTCTTAGTGAACAAGGTGAAGTGTTCTATTTCTGTAATGCCATGTGCACATGGAAACGTTATGCAGCCAAAGCTTAGGAAAATATTTCTTCCTGTACAATATATACCTGCACTCAGGACTGTCTATTTATAAGTAAATAATTACATGAATTTACAGCTGTTGGAGATTTTCAGCGTTTACCAACCTGAATAACAACATGAAATTAGTGTATTTTTTTCAACTTTGACCTTTTGTTTATCTTGCTGATAGAATGGCTACTTGGTACTAACTGAACAATTAAGACTGAATTTTTGTAATAATAATAACAACCTGCTTTTTATTCAAAGAAAATAGACTAGAGTCACATGAATAGAGTCATTCCTGAAGTTCAGAAAATGTCTCTTTGGGCTTATTTTGTGCAGAATGCCATAGAAACTTTACCAGCATGGTACTTATTGCACTAGCTTTTAAATATTATCTCAATTCTTGGTTATTAACATACATCATTGACCTATACATTTCTCCAGTTTTGTGCAACCAGATTCATCAAGGGCGTGAGGTGCTGTTTTCTGTTTATCACTTCTTTTCATTCTCAAATTAGTTCAAGCAACAGCATTTCTGTTGAGATCAAGTAGTGGATAAATTAACTTTCTCTTTAAAGGTAGTCTTCCCTACAAGGGAGTCTGCATCTTGAATGCCCAGGAAATAATTTGGTTGAGTGAGCTACTGCCTTGAGAGTTTGCTTTCTCAAAACCACCCTTTTCATGTTTATTGAACAAAAAACTTCCGTTTTTCTCAGAAATCGCATTTTAGTTTTGAAGAGAGAGCAGATACAGTCATGTATCTGTTCATGAAATTATTAGAAAGGTTAAATAACTAGAGCAGATGCTAGTCAGAATAATTGTTGGGACTCTTCTACTCTTTTGGAGGCCCTAGATTCAGATGTGTGTCTTGCTTTCCTGGAAGGGAGATGTGCCCTTTGAAGTCTGTTTTGCTTTTTCAACTTGAATTTGTGCTCACAGAGAAGGTGAGAAGCAATCCCATCAGAGCACTTGGGGTTGCTGAATTTTTAAATACAAACTTAGGCCCAAACCTATGGTAAATTCTGAACATCACGTGACCTTTGCCCATTTTTCAGTTCAAATTAAGGGCGTCTGTTAAGAGGACTGATTCTGTTGATTCTGAGCATGTAGCATCCAAATGATCATTTGATTTTAATATCCTTTGATGCCTTTTCCGAGACCTTGCAGCATCTCAAGTTTTGTTCTCATTATGGAAGACTCGAGCTGTAGACATAACACTGTCTGCTTAATTTTCTCAAAACGTTTTTCCAAAGGACTATCTTGTCAGTATCAATAATGAATGTGACAGGCATATTACAACCTTACAAGTGATGCAAATGATGGCCATATGCTGCCTGCTGCAGTCATTAATTAACCACTTCATACTAGGGATTGTGGATTTTGTTGGTACATCACTTTTATAACTGCACTTGGGAGCGACACTGTCTCTTACAGATGTGCTCTTCTTACTTAAAACGGAAATAATGTTTTATAAGCAGGAGTGTAGCACAATGTGCATGTGTAGGCTTTATCCCATGGTTGGATATAAATAATTTGGTCATTGTTTCACATCATAGCTGATGAAGAGATGAAAATAATTCGTCTGTTCTTAATTTAGCACCACAGATTTTTTTTCTGTCTAAAGGTTATAAATTTCAGAAATTGCAACAAGCTCTCTGCTCCCTCAGATTTCTTAGTATCTAGAAAGTTTAATATACCAAAATTTAAGTAACTAGAGGATTATTAAAACCTTTTTATTAATCACTTTTTATACTGCTAGTTACACTGTGAAACAGTTAATGTTTATCACCTTCAATTAAAACTGAACACTGGCATAAAGGAAAGTATTTAATTAGTTTTAACGAATGTAGACATACATGTGCATGTACAGATTAAGTCTGGGATAATCTAATGTGTATATATAAAATTTAAGTATTGGTTTGTGACTAATTCGTTTTTTTTTCTTAACAGTACGTGATGAAACTCCCAGCTTCAGATGGAAAAACAATTTATAAATTAGGCAAGATTGTTCAGGAATGTATTTAATCTGCATGGTCGCTGTATGAAAAATCATAACGATAAGCTGGGACTATATGTAAAATAAAAACGAACTTTTACTTATTTTTTTAAAAAGTGGTAACGATTTTAAAGCAATGTTACAGTAAGTTAACATGTTTTTCACATTCTACTTCACTGAAATTTTTAAAATACTCTGAGTACTGAGTTAATAATATGGAATGATTGCGAAGAACTGAATCTTACCTTTGTTATAAAATGCTGAGTATTACCATTGGTGGCAAAAGACAAATAGCAAGGTCTTATAAACTTAATATTATCTTAAACCAATATTATAAACCTAATAAATCACATACATAAAAGAACTCTCTAGTAAAAAAACCAGAAAATATGTTATTCTAAATCTGGTTTCACCTGCTTGTGCTTCTCAAAAAGTGATTTTCTAGTAAGTTATCTGTACATTCTAAAAAAACAAGTTGTTTTTGCTAACAGGTGTAAATACTATGTTCCTTTTCTAATTCAACAGACTGTACTCATCTTTGCTGGTTGCTTAGTGCAATAGATCTTAACAAACACTGAAAGTAATTTCAGGCTTTTGTTTTTTTTCGTGGAAACACAATTTCTATGGAATTCATTCAAAGGATTCATTAATTTTAACTAATGAGTGTCAAAAAATGCACAGCGTTGGAGCAGACTCTTAAATTCTTTATAAGATTCTGCAAGAATGTGATTAAAAAGCTGTATAAATTGAGATATGTATTACATGCCATATGAAGTTAACCTTGTCTGTGACATCATGACTAACAATTAAGTTCTGCTGTTAATCCATTTAAAGTAGAAATATTTTAACTAAAAGGTTGTATTTGGTTGTAAGATACTGTATAGTGTATTAAAATACATTTGGAGATTAAATTAAAGTGCAAGTTAATTTCTCTGTGAACCTTATACTTGCAGAATAGTATATAAATATTTGCATTACTTTGTGTATTCAAAGTGTGTGACATTTGATGATATATACATTTCTAATCATATTACTCAGCCTTAAAAAAAAAAGCAGATCTGAGATGATGAAAATATCAAGGACAAATATATGTCCTTGAAAACTTTTCACCATTCAATCCTGTACCCTCATTTTTGAAACTTGCATATATGTTTGAGTACTTAAGGCACGTCTTAATAATTGACATTTCATGAACCTGATGGCATTTGTTCTGATAAGCTGAGACAAATCCAAAACCAAAACACTCACAGGAATAGCAACCTAAAACTGAAATCATATTCTGAAGTAGTAGGCAGACCCCTGAAGAAGGGAAATAATCACTTTCTGCTAAAATGATGCTTCTTGCAAACTTCATTGATCTAAAATTTGACCAAATCAGGACACAGGCTCACTTAATTTTTTTCTGCAGTGGCATTTTGAGGTCTTTCTCAGGTCTCCTAGGTTTCCTTTCTATTGTATTTTCTATTTACTTTTATTTTTCCAGACACTTTTTATCTCTTCTTCCCACAAACTTTTTTTCTTCAATTCCTTTTGGAATAATTACTCAGTTTTCAAATTGACTTCTTTCCATTAATAATTAGTTTTCCTGTAGCTATTCCATGAATTTATAGTTACCTTTTCCGTTGTTAGGGATAAAAATGTAATTATCACTGCTTTTTTGAAAAAGATAAAAAGATAATTCACATGCTCTGAATGGTGTCATTTTGCTTCAAGAAAACAGAAATATCAGTGAAACAACAGTTTTCTGTCATGAGGTCTGAGAACCTAAGACAGCAGGAAACTGTTATGAAGAGGTGATGTCTCTTTACCTTTCTGAGCTAAAGAAAAAATCTAATGTCATTTAACAACTTTCTTCTGTTTTACTATAATTTTTTTAATACATGGAAATGACTTTAGAATGGACTTAAAGAATTGTTGGAACTTGCAGGCAGTGAAGAAAGCAAGAGGATACTCAAATAGAAAACTCCATGTTCGGTACTGTGCTGCAGCAACTGCCTGACATCTTTTTTAAAAATAACAAGCAAGGAAAAAGGCTATTTAACCAGACAAGTCATTAATGATCGTGTATGGTGTCTTTGGAATATTAAGAGCAGAAATTGCACTGTTACTAACATGTATATATAATAAAGTATACTTTGCTATGGCATCTTGGGGAAAAGGCTCAAGGCTCCTTGTTGATTTTGTCAAATGCAATGTTTATTTTTAAAAAGTGACAATGTAAGGTATGCCATGTATGTATAAAAAGGGGGATTAGCCCATTCACATCCCTCGTGTGAACGTGTTCATCTGCGCAGAATGCATTAAAAGTTACAAATAAAAAGAGGGAAGGGTGCTATTTCTGTCTTAACAGGTCAGAAGGGCTAATACCAGTTGCTGGGCTAACTTTCTAAGCAGCTGGGGACAGAAGGAAGCACAAACCGTGTTTCCAGCCTTCCTGCCAACTAATTTCAAGATCCTGTCCTGAGAGGTAACGTCGTTTATTACATATGAGACCTAGACATTTGATGGTAGGTATCGTCTTTCTGAAGTTTTCCATTCTGTTTCTTGCTAATTTGCTTATTTATATTTGTTTTAAAATACTGTTCTTGGTTTTATCTCTAAGCATGTTTGATGACACGTAAATTCAGGAAAGGTTCCCAAATAGAAAGCTGTTTGTGTTTTGTTACTGCAGGTGTCATAAAACACTTCCTGCTCAAGTCTCCACGATCTTGCCACCTGAAACGCTGTATTTGGTTTTGGGAGACACACACACATGATGATGGTTTCTGTGATAAGATGCCAGAAACTCCCTCTGACTCAGATTGTAGGGAACTTTCTTCCTAAATAATGTGATAATTTTGAAGCCTAGTGTTGGAAAATATGGATGTCTGGACAGAAACCTGGCAAACATAGACCAGTCACCCATGGCATGCAGCAGACTGAGGACTGACCATCCCACTTTGCCTAAAGTGCCACACGAAACTTCATGTGGCAGAAGAGGGAACTCCTGATAAAAGGAAGGTGTGGAAACTTCAGGTGAGGCAACAGGTTGCCTTGTTTTCCATTTCAATGTAGCCGTTTGGAGTGTGTCATGAGGACACATAGCCAAGCTGAAACCGAGGGCCTGTAGGACAGAATATCTAGCCAGGCACTCAAGGCACTTGATGATTAAAGCTTGAGGAAAGCATATCTTGTCCCAGTTATGTCCTGTTTGTTATGTTCTGTGTAGATGAGATGACCTGATTTCTTTTAAGTCTGAGATGGGAAATAGATGCAGACTTATATTGCAGAAAGGAGTGCAATTTTTATTCCAACCTGGTGTATTTCACAGGTACAGTATGTTCCATCCATGACTGTACTGTATGCAGTACTTCCACGTTGTTATTGTGGAAATAATGTCCTGCTTACTTTATATTTGCACAATACTGGTACAGTCAGGGGATTAAGGCATTTCTAGAATACAAAACATATTGGGACTTAAATATGAATGCTTCTGTTTAAACTTTAAAAAATATCCAGCTGTGAAATTTTTCTGTAGCTTTTTCTGTATTTTTTAAGTGTCCTAGATAATCTCCAGACACCAAATATAGCTGTCTCGTTATAAATTCATAGAAAACCTGTGAGCATCTACACAGCTGATGAAGATGTTTCATAGTTGAAAAACCTGGTCTTTCACTGATCAATCTGTTCCATGAGTCACTGCTCCATACAGTTGGAAGAAACCAACCTATTTAAAACAGCTCACACAATGAATTTGATGCACACTCTCAATTATGGCAAAGCAAAACAATAGCAAATAGCTACACCTTAATTTCTTGCCCTGTATTCATTCAGAAGCTGCCGGCAACAAAAGCCATTCTGACAACACTAAATTTCAGCTATAAATTAGTCAGTTTCTTTGTATTTCTTTTTCATATATCCACAGAGAGTATCTGCCTAACAGAAGCTTTAATAATAAAGATAGCATATTTGCGAGGGTTGAAGGCTGAATTCAGCTTGGATCAGCGCCGCATCAGCGTTGATTTCTCAGACGTTCTCGTTCATCGTTTTAACCTGAAAAGATCCTTCTGTTGCTGAGTTGTTTCTTTTTTAATCCACATCTAGCTTCTCTTCGCTCTCTACTTACTTCCCGCTTAGTTTTCTTCCCATCTGCTTTCTTGGAATTGGATGCCTTGTTACTGTTCTTTTTGGCTACCCAGTACTGTGTGAGCAGAGTGTTGCTGCCACGGTGCACCCGGTACCGTGCGGCTGCCACTCGGTGGCACCCAGAACGAGCCCAGCCAGCGCGGCCTCCTCACGCTTTCCGGGAGCCCAGCTGGCATTGGTCTGATGGCAACCAAACTTAGCCAGAACCCTGGTGGAGGAGAGAGACATCAGTGGTGAATCTGGATAGCGGGGGATGTCGGGGGCGAGTGGAGTCCAGGCCGGCTCCGGGGCACGACCCGAACCAGGGGCAGCCCGCTCTGTTAGGTCGCGATCCCGGAGGAGACGCACGGTCGTTTCCTGTCGCTGCTGCTTTCGGCAGGAGAGTGAAGCTGGGCAGGTGCTCTCGGGCTATCGCCAGTGAGTATCCGGCCGGCGCTGCCGGGGACGCAGCACTGCTGCCCGGGTGCCAGGGCATGGCTCGGCTGCGCTGGCAAGCCCCGGGTTGGCGGGTTTGAACTGGCGGGCGCTGCCCCCGCCGCGCCGGCGGAGCTGGGCGGAGCGCGGGCCGAGGCGCCGCCGGCCGGCAGGGGCGCTGCTGGCGGCGGGGCGGGGGAAGCGGAGCGGCGGCGCTGCCATTCCCCGGCTGCGCGGCCGCCTCCTCCCCTCCGCCTCTTCCTGGCCGCGGCCAGAGGAGCTGTGCTGGCAGCGGGGAGGCGGCGGCGGCGGCGCCCAGCTCTCGGCCCGCCATGGCGATCCGCAAGAAGAGCAACAAGAACCCGCCTGTGCTGAGCCACGAGTTCATCGTGCAGAACCATGCGGACATCGTGTCCTGCATGGCCATGATCTTCCTGCTGGGGCTCATGTTCGAGGTGAGGCGGCACCGACGCCCCCGCCGGGGGTCCTCTTCCCGCTTCTTCCCGCTCCACCGGAGGCTCTCGGTGCTGGAGGGGAGGGAGGGCGCGGCAGTGCCGCGGCAGCAGGGGAGGCTGTGCGGGCTGCGGCGGAGCCCTGCGGCTGCCCAGCCAGCCAGCCGCCGCCCCCCGGCGCACCTGCCCGCCGGCCCACGCCTGACCCGCTGTACGCTGGGACTGGAGCCGACCCCCGCCCGAGAATCACCGCGGGCGCCCTCCCCGCGGCGCATCCCCGCTTCCCCGGCGGGAACGCCCTTCTCCCCGGCTCGGCTTGGACAGGCGCAACCGTGGCTACCGCCAGGACGCGGGTCCCGCTCCCCCGCCGCCGCGGGCGGGAGGCCGTGCGGGGCCGGGAGCGCTGCCCGCCGCGGCCGCGGGGGTTCCTGCGGGCGGCGGGGTTACGTGGCAGCCGGAGCGGGGGGGAGGAGTGCGCGGCACGGCGGGGAGGGGGCGGGGGGCGAGGCCCGGCCGCCACGGCCGATCCCCCGCTCTTTGTGTGCGCGGCCCCGCCGGGCCCCGCCGGCACTACGGCTCCCGGCGGGCGGCGCGGCGGGAAGGGAAGCGAAAGGAAAGCAGCGGTGACGTGTCCTTACGGCCGCCGCTCGGGTCCCCCTGCCCGCGCCCCCGCACCGCCCGCCGAGCATCCCGGGGCTCCCGGCGGCTCCAGGCGCCGCGCGGCTGGGCTGGGCTGGGATAGGATGGGATGGGATGGGCACCCCCGCCGCCTCCTCCCGCCTCGGAATGCGCCGAGCTTTGGCAGCGGCAGAGGGGAGATCTCCCTCCGGCCTGAGCGCCGGCCCTGCTGCAGGCCCTCCGCTCTCTGGGCCCCCATGTTGAATGCAGATGTTTTCAAACGTGCCTTTTTGGCGCTGGAAAGGTTAACTTAACCTGCGTGACTGCCAAAATGTTATCAGTCATCTAAGATCACCGGTCATCAAATTAAGACACTGTTGACCAAACGTTTCTGGTATTTTAGACATTTGTTCAGACGTTTATTTTAGAGATTTGTTAAGGGTTGTGGACCTTTTCATTATAGGGATGGTTTCATCCAGCTGTTGGATGTTGTGTTTCATCACAGCTCAGCAGTAAAGGCCAGTGGGTTTAGGATAGATGGATAGATAGATAGATAGATAGATAGATAGATAGATAGATAGATAGAGAAAACGGGGGCAGACCAGCTACGCTGTTGTGTCTGGGTCTGCTATCACAAATCATAAAGATAGCTGTTATATGGTGATTTTCTGGGGAATGAAGTTAAAGAGGTAAACCTAAGCCCTTACTTTTTGTGCCTCCATCAGGCTTACTGTATTAACAGTATTACTGGTAGGGTTAGAGGGTTTTTGGGGATTGAATGTGCTGAATTCTTTTGTTTCGAATTTTTTTTAACCCACTGTATTTTCTAACCCAGTGTAAAAAGGCCATGTGTCACTGTTGGAGCAGATGTAGTATGTTGCAGTTTTTTAATGCTTTGATATATTGCTGGAAATCACTTGCTGTGGTTAGTGTTGGTGTGGTAAGGTGTTTACACTGCCTGACTTGTGCAATTCCAGTATTGAGAGTAGCTGCCAGAGCCTTCAAAGGGCAGTTCAGAATTTAATACTGTTTCGAATTGTCCTCTGAGGGCTCTCTTGATGAATAGGGAGCCCGAGGCAACTTCACTAATTTGAGCAAACTAGTTGGATTCCCTGAAGTTACATGATCTGAGCAGTCTGCCACGTATTCAGGGTTTCATAGAAAATCGACGGCTTGTTGACAAAGCACTGGTTTTAAAAATCTCATGCCTGTGAATAATTAATACAAGTAGTAACCTAGTCATTATCTTCAGACACTCTGCATATCCTTCCAGGATTCCTAAAGGAGCTCACGTTTTCTGTCAGCCCTATTAATTACCATATAGATGCTGGGTTTTTGCAGCCGTGAGAACCCATCTGATCATGAATATGGTAAAGTACAGTTATTTTTCCCCTCACTTAGGGCATGTTGATTCATGTTGGGATTCAACGAAGATGTATTATAGTAAAAAACAAGTTTCTGCTTATTGACAAATAAGAACTTGTACTCCATCTTGAGGGTTTTAGAATATCCCCACTCTCACAAAGAAAACCATTAGGACAACATCTTCTTTTCAAATTATTTTTATTCATTCTGGTTTTTCCTACAGCTCAGCTCTTCATAAAGGGGCAGTACCACTACTGCTAAATTTAATTTCATTTGTTTTATGCTTCTTGCAAAGGATCCCCAGGGTCAAAAGAATACTAATTGTACTGAGTTGGTATCCCACTGGCCTGAAATTGTTTTCTCTTGTTTATCCCTTTTTTCTTTCCCTGTCCACATTTTTTAGATCACCCACAGATTTATGAATATGATAACTGGCTTTCAAATTTTCTCAGATAAAAAAGTACTTTATTAAAAAGTTTATTCTCAGCCACTGCTGAATGCATCATGGTCTAGAGACTCTGTGATATTGTGCATTCTGTTAATGTAATAATACAGTATGGACTAAAGACAGAATTGTAGCATGTGTTTTCATGTTAGTGTTGTAGGAAAGGCCGTTTGTAAGTAACATTTTCAAGGATCTTTCATTTGGCAGGTTGAGTATTCCGTAAACAAACCTATAGAGACCACACCGTGTGTGCTGCCCTTGGAAAGTCAGGTGCAGTGGTGAGATAATGGGAGTTGGTCAGTTTTTTGGGAGGAGACTAACGTGCTGGATAAGGGTGCCAAAAATATGGGCAAATGTTTTCAGTTTAATGTAGTTTATTTCCAGGAGAATTCACAGCACTTTTGGTTTTTTTCTCTTTCAGATTACAGCAAAAGCAGCAGTCATTTTCGTTACACTTCAGTATAATGTTACCATTCCTGCCACAGGTATGTATCTTGCAGGGGGTTAGTTAGGAGACAGTGTATCAGACATTATTAGTGTTCCAGACTTGTTAATTTCAGTAGATAATGAGCTACTTCCAAGGATTTCACTTTCTTTTTATTAAAACACTGTTTTAGCTGATTAAGTTAATGTTTCTGTTCTGCAGGATTTGTCATTAGTGCTGAAACATCATCTAACTGGTAGATAAGTTCACATGAATTCTGACTCTGAGTTTTCAGGTGACAATCTTTAAAGTCAAAGTGGGGTGATAGTTTAACATATTTTATTGTCCACTTTCGGTGTATTTGGGTAAGCTCCCTAAGTGCACTTAAGTTTTTAGTTTTATAGCATCTTTCCAGAGTGAAGTTGAGTTTGTGATGTGATGGAGAAGATAACTATAAACAGTCTAGTGACCTGGTTCATGGTGGCAGTTTAATTTGACTTTTATTTGTTCAGCTGGCTACAAGCTACTTCTGTCTGAAAGGTTTCACTCTGAGAAATAAACTCATTAACCCATTAAACTGTATTGGTGCCTAACAGTTATTTCTGTTTGTCTTTTAGAAGAACAATCTGCAGAAACAATCTCTCTCTATTACTATGGCATCAAAGACTTGGCTACAATTTTCTTTTACATGCTTGTAGCAATAATCATACATGCTATAATTCAGGAGTATGTACTGGATGTAAGTACAAAATATTCATTCCTTTCATCAAGATAATTGTTGGGTTTTAATTAGACTTTAAGACTATTAACTTGAAAGTAAACTTCTGCATTACAATTTTAAACTGTAAAAACATACATTAAAACTTCCAGATGCTCTAATGCAGTTACCAAATAAATGTGAAGTACTGCAGCATATAAATAACAGTGGACTTTCTTTTCAGAAAATTAACAGGAAAATGCACTTTTCAAAAACAAAGCATAGCAAGTTCAACGAGTCTGGGCAACTTAGTGCATTCTACCTTTTCTCCTGTGTTTGGGGAACGAGTATTCTTGTCTCTGTAAGTATGCTTTTCCTTCTGTTTGTATTATGAGATTTCAAAAAATTCACTTATGTTGATGTTAAATATGTTTTTGGCTTATTTTTCTCGTTTTAGCTGGTTTTAATTTTAAACTGGGGACAAGTTTAAGGGTTTCTATGTAAGCTGTAGTCATAACTGAGTATAAAGTCAGTAGTGTTACTGTTGCTCAGTCTTGTTGATTTACTGTCAAACTGAGTAAGATAACCTACAGAGAATTAAACAACATAACAAAGTAAAATGGTTTTTTTTGGTGTTGGTTTATTAACGTAAATGTTTAGAAAACACCACACACAGCATTCTGGAGTTTAGGGAATGGGTGTATGACAGATTGCTGTAACCTCAGGTCAGTGTGTGCTTTTAGGTAACATACTCTTTGCTAGTGGTTGAATATGAGCTTAGCTCTTAGAAAGGGAAGATTGTGCCTTTGTTTTTGTTTTAGCATAACAACTCCTGGAGAACCTTTCCTCCTCTTAGTTAAGTCCAAAGTTTGTTGGCAGTTTACAAGAGAAGACTTGTGGCTGTAGTAATCCTGGGATAATTTCCATCTCATAAGGACATTCTATCTTGAATAATCACTTGATTTGTTTGGTTGCTTTTTATTTTCCTAAGCCAGTGCACTGTCCTAGGAACTGTCTTTTGTTTTGGGGATTTGTTTTGTGGGTTGGTTTGGTTTTGTTTATGTGTGATTTCTCTGGGATTTTTAAAAAAGAAAATTTATAGATCTGCAGCTTTTACTTGTGTATGTGGGTGTATTTTTGTGTGTACACGTGTGCATATACATAAATGCATACATGTGTTTCCAGTCATTATTTCTGACTAGAAAGTAACATCTTAGAGCATTTATTGGGGTTTTTGTTTCTTGTTTTCTTTTTTTTAGGAGAACTATATATCAGATCCGACCTCTCTGTGGAGGGACTATCCACACACTCTGATTCCGTAAGGCTCTTCCTTAGAGCATTGCTGGGGGAGAGGAGGGAGTGTTTTAAGCCTAGGGTGTGTCATGTACAATCTGTGTAGAATAAGTAGTTTGTAAAACTATATTAGTCACTAATGCATTTTTAGTTGTATTTATGTGGGCTCAATTCTTTGACTATTTGTAGCATACAAAGTTCTATTTATGTAGGCTATCAATTATGTTTTCACAAGCTTTGTCTTAATGATTTTGTTATTAATAAGATTAGTTTAGAATTGGCTGGCATGAAGGATCTGTAGTTTTTCTTTCTTTAAGAGACAGTTATAAAATGAGTTTACTAGAAGTTTCTGAAATGTTTTAGTTTCATTCATAATAAATAATATTCTTCAATTCTTGCTGTATTGTACAGGTTTCAAATGAAGTTTTTCTACATCTTACAGTTGGCATACTGGTTTCATGCTTTTCCAGAACTGTACTTTCAAAAAACTAAAAAAGTAAGTTCAAAATGTAAATGGGAGGAACTCCAGAGCAAGGCAGCTTCTTTTCTTTTCAGTTAAATCCTAATTGCAATAAAATTGCTGAATATCTGTTACGTAAATAAAAATTACTAGTGTTTCTCATCCATTAAAAGAATTTTCCCTAGAGCAAGTGATTGTGAGATTTTCTTTTCAACTCTTTTTTAATTTTTTTTTTTGTTTCTCAAAATTGATAGTCTGAATAGGCTAATTGAAATCACAGTTTCTTCATGAATTATGATATAGGTGTAGAATATAAACTGTGAATAATTCTATACATCAAAGGAGAATGAAAGTCTGGTGTTTGATTTAAATGGCATTTAAATGGTTGGATGAAAATGGGACATGAGCTGGCAATGTAACTTTGCACCCCAAAAAGCCAGGTGTCAGCAGGGCTGCATAACAAGCAGTGACCAGCTGGTAGAGAGAAAGGGTTGTGCCCCTCTGCTCTGCTCTAGAGTGCTGCATCCAGCTCTGGGGTCCCCTGCACTGTTTGGGCAGGTCCAGAGGAGGGCCATGAAGATGGACAGAGGGCTGGAGCACTTCTCCTGTGAAGGCACACTGAGAGCTGGGGTTGTTCAAGCTGGAGAAGGCTCTCAATAAGAGAACTTACTGTGGCCTTTCACTGTTTGAAAGGGCCTAATAAGAAAGATGAAGAGAGACTTTTTATTGGGGTCTCTAGTGACAAGGAACAATGATTTTGAAGTAGGTTTAGAGCAGATGCGAAGAAATTCTTTACGAAGAAAATGGTGAGACTCTGGAACACAATGCCCAGAGAAGCTGTGAATTTGCTTTCATTTGAAGTGTTCAAGGTCAGGCTGGATGGGGCTTTGAGCAACCTGGTCAAGTGATAGATGTCCCTGCCCATGGTGTAGAGTTCGGACTAGGTGATCTGCAAAGGTATCTTTGAGCCCACACCATTCTGTGACTGGGCTGCATCTCTGTTGCCGTTTCTGCTTTATTCAAGAAAATGAAACAGAAGTGTTACATAACCCCAGGTCTTTGTACAGGAGCCTAGAAGAGGCTTAGTAAAATAGTAACGAGGTGCACTGATTTATGCTGCTCAGATGCAGTATGAATACTGCTTGGCAGATGCACTGCAGCTGATGTTTCCCTATTGTGCTAGTGATACCGCTCAAATTTGACTTCACAGCCAAGTGTGGAGATTTTTCTTAAAATAACTTCAAGAAAGCTGTGGCCTAGATGCTGAATGTTGAGTAGTAGTGTTTTACTTGGTCACTGCTTGAAATTGTGCCCTCTGACTTTTGCATTAAGTTTAAAGAGTGATAGTTAATTTGTTTTAGCAAGTTCATACTTGGTATTTCTTTAACCACGCCTTAACCTCTGCTATCTTGGCTTCCTTACCTTTTTCCTTCTCTTAAATGAACTGGCTGCTTTTATTCAAGTCTAGTTATCTGTCCTGCTGCCATAAACAGGAAAAGAACTTCTTAGCTCTGGTTCCTTTATAGTCATGTATATCTCGTGCATTATTCCACAAGGCCCACAGTCTCTGACAATTTGTCTAAGCAGGCAGCATGGGCTGTTTAAATGTTATTTCAGTTCTAAAGTTAAAGTGTTGGAGGCTGGTCCTGGTTGTGCTTGGAGAAACTGACCACTTGTACTTACTGTATCTTTATCTGAAATAACTAATTTTTCATTTTCTTTCAGATAATTTAGAGTAGATCTTTCTCCACCTGTTTTCTTGCTCTTTGTGTATTATGAGTATGATGTTTGCTGCTGTCACAATTGTTTGATTCTGTGGGTTTGTTGGATTTGATACTGAGTATTGAATAACATAGTATAGCTCTTGTAAGATTAAATTTTAGGCCTCTTTAATTACATGTATACAAGATAAAACTAAAGATCCTTGCTTGAAGTTTAGAGAATCTTTCCAAAAAGGAGTTTCTTAAGCACAACTGAATATACTCTGCTACCACTCCAAAAGAGATTTTTATTGTGATCTGGCATACTTCAGTGGTTCTTCTATTCACAGATGGCACAATCTGCTTTCCATGTGCTGTGTGTCTTTCTCTTTATTATTTCATCTCAAATAAGTGTTCAGTTTAATAGGGCTGGCTAAAGCCTGACTTAAAGTGGGACCGTGTGCTTTAACATGACTGGTTAATAACAATATTCTCTGTATTTGCCAGAAACAGTCTGCTACAATTTTGGATGGCCTTGAATTTTTAAAATTGAGGTCAACGCTTGGAAAACCTTTCATTTTGATTTGTAGACTGTTATTTTATTCTGTAGCAATCTGACAATTTGATGGGCAGAAAACATGTGGAACTGTAGGATCTGATGATTCAGTAATACATACAAGCTAAGTATTGTAATATAAATTCACAGTGGTCATAACAAATAAAAGTGGATCCTTTTAAACAGCATCTTTCCATGTTTAATGCCTTTTCTCACAGTAACATATGTAAGATGCTGAATATTACTGGTAAGTGAGCAATAAGTTATGTGTGGAATTAGATGATCCAGGCTGAGTAATTCAGTGTCAGACTAGGCCACTTTAAGGTAGCTGATACACCAAGAAGAATTTCCAAGACTAGGGAATAGTTTTTAATAACAGATGACATGGTACAATACTGTATAACATTGTGTATAACACATGGTCACTTTTTCCTTCCAAATAGGAAGATATCTTTCGCCAGATTGTGTACATTGGACTTTACCTCTTTCATATTGCTGGAGCCTATCTCCTGAAGTAAGTCAGTTTTAAACTTTTGCTGGTTCCATTCTCTGTCTTAATTATCTAACAAAATATCTGAATGTTTGTTTTATTTGTTTTGATAGTCTGACCCATCTTGGACTTGTTCTTCTGGTATTGCATTACTTCGTTGAATTTCTTTTCCACATATCCCGTCTTTTCTACTTCAGTGATGAAAAATACCAGAAAGGGTAAATAGTCTTTATCTTTAAAATTCATGTAATTTCTGTCTTAGAGCCTTTTGCATTTAACTAACCAGAAACCAAAATTACAAGGAAGTTCAAACAATGTTTCTTAAGCGACCACAGTTCTCTGGACTAATGTTAGTACTTCTATTTCTATACCATCAATAGACTTTTTACCTTGTTTTAGCCTATTTAAGTAAATATTAGTAGCAGTATTAAATGAAATAAAATTTCTCAATCTGTACTAACATGGGGTTTTTTTAAAGTTTTGTAGACAAAAAAACAGGATAGGTTGCTAATACAGACAGCCCTGTAAGAACTAAAAATGTACTTTTGTTCTAATAGTACTGGAAAGCACTTTCCATTGAGTTGAAATCAGTTTTCATAAGATAATACATTTAAGATAGGTGCAAAATCATGTATTTAGAGAAGTTCTTGCATTTCAAATAAATTTGCATGGTGAAGGGTAAGCATTTACATTGTTATTGCATGTCTTTTGAATGGAAAGTTTATTTAGTGTTTATGGTGTTTTTATTTCTAGATTTTCACTGTGGGCAGTTCTTTTTGTTTTGGGAAGACTTCTCACCTTGATTCTCTCAGTCCTCACTTTTGGCTTTGGACTGGCAAGAGCAGAAGATCAGCAGCTGAATTTCAGTACTGGGAACTTCAATATCCTGGCTGTTAGGTATAGTTAACCTGGAACAGTTCTTAAGCATGTGCTGCAAACCCGTGTTAAATACACAGTGTAAATGGTGTGGTACTAATGCCAGTAATTCTGAATGTTTTAGTGTTTTCATGCGACCAGTGGGATCGATATGAATAGCTTATGTAAGACAGAATTTAGTCTACAGCTGAGAAATCTGTAACTGGTTACTCATCTTTTCTTTGTTTTGAATAAAACCCCAAGCAACCAAAAAAAATATGAAAAAACCAAACCACCAGAATTAAAAGGATATCCAGTTACAGATACTACTTTCAAATGTTTTTAAGTTAATAAATAGAATTCTAGATATGATTGCTGTGAGTTTATCTTAGAGGTCAAGGCCTTGTGTCTACAGCAGCTTTGGTCTTGGTTAAAGATTACTGCCCCTTTCTCTGCCTTTATTATGGCTCCTATTGCTGCTGGTGATCCAGCTGCCTGGTCTTCTTAAGAATGCAGAAAAATAAGTTATTGAAACTTGGATGCTGTCGGCATTACCCTGCAAAATTGGTACTCTGAGCTGCAAGACACTCTTGAACCATTTTCAGCTGTTACTACCTGGTACCCTGAGAGTGATTCTGAGAAAGACAGCAGGAAAGAAACCTCGTACTTGCCAGTTTGATGGGCAAAGATTTCACCATCACTCTCTATCTAGTTTTGATGATCTGTGCTTAAGCCCAGTGTCCCCTATGCAAGCAAACTCTTGGCTTAGAAAATGGATGTTACCAGGAGGAGGGGGTGGAAGTTGCCAAAAAACCTGAGATGTTCTACCTTCCTTTTCTGTTTGAATGCTGAGGCAAACTTACTGATTAAACTTGACTTATTATTTGTTTCTAGAATCAGTGTGCTGGCCTCCATCTGCATGACTCAAGCATTTATGATGTGGAAGTTCATTAATTTCCAGCTTCGGAGGTGGAGAGAGCATTCTTCTTCTCAGCCTCAGTCAGTGAAAAAGAAGTTTGTATCAGCTAAAGGAAAGACCTCCAGAAAAGAAAGAGGTTTGTAGTTTCAGTTTTTCTGTTGCCTTGAGTTCTCAAAACCAGCTTTGGGTTGCAAATGAACCATTTTGTGTTTAACTTGAGTTGAGATGACTCAGCTACAGAAGCAGTACTGGTGAATATTACCGTGGGAAGAATAGATTTTTAAGAAAAACCGCTATAGATTGTTGGGTTTTCTAACTGCCCGAACTAAGGAATTACTGGGTTTTTTTTTAGTTAATGCAGCATGATATTTTTATTCTCTTTCATTTCATTACTTGAACAAAATGTGTCATGCTTATGTTTTGTTATCTTATGTAAAGGGAACAGATGCAATTTTAGATCTGTTGTCTTAGACATTTATTTGTAAAATTTTCTTGCAGTGGATTTCAAGCTGGTTTTTCATTGCCACAAAATTCTGAGGGTTTGGAGCAAAGAAATGGTTTGATGATCCACACTGTAAAAAGTTTTGTGTTGGACTGTTTTTACAAAAAACAGAAATTGATAGTTCTTTAAGGAAAGATAATAACACCTTACTATTCTAAATCTGTGTCAAAGAGTTTGGAAATTAATTGAAGAGTCCAGGTTTGACTTTTTAATTATGCCACACCCTTGTTATGGAAATGGTATGAGAGATGAACAGAATGCTCTTTCCTCAAGAAAAAAATTATGTGTTCTTTTTAAAAAAAAAAACTTAAATCCCTGTACTTCAGTATATCTGTTGCACCAACAGTTCAACTTCTGTGTATTTAATTGCTAGCTTGAATAACTTCTGCATTCTTTTGAAATGGCCGAAGTTGTTTCAAAGGCTTTCTTCAGCATGATCCTTTTCTCCCAATCATGTATTACCAACCTGTTTTTGATCTATTTTGATCTATTGAAAGTAATGCGAGTCAAGACCATTTGCACTGGAGATCAATAATTTTTTATTTCTCCCAAATTTCTATTTTTATTAAAATTATGTGTTTTAGAGTACTGCTGCACTCCCTTTAAATGATCTGTAATTATCACAACTTGGCTTTTGTGTAGTCCTGGGGTTTTTTTTGGTCATCTGAAAATCCAGTTGGATTTTTTTTATATATAATTGAGTGAAGGTAGTTTCCTATGTAAGTGACCTGTTTAATCAGAGCTTCATGTTCATGGCCTTCTCACTGTTTTTTTAATTTAAGTCTTTTGTGTCAAATAATTTTAAAATATGTGCCTTGATGATGATTTAATCAGGGAGTCAGAAATGTAATAGCTTTCTAAAATCCCTTAATCTATTTCATTCATGTAGTTTAGTGAATCTGCTGGGTTTCGCCCACCTTCAACGGAGACTTGCAAGTGGTAAACAAATAGTGAAGAAGTCAGTTCATTGGAGTTGTGGTTTAATTAATAAAATAATTGAGCCATGCCTGTCTTGAACACTGAAGAATTTTATCCCTTATTTTAAATGGAAATAAAAGAACTCAATTCATTCAAATTCTTCTGTTTTGAATACTCCTGTTAGGTTGTCTGTTCAGCACACTTGCAGCAAAGGATGTATTTTTGAAAGAGTAATATATCCAATTGAACTGTTTAAAACACTCTCTTTTCGGGTTTTTTTGTGGTTGTATATTTTTTAGGAGCCGGGGCACAATAGAATGTGTTACTTTTAGTCAATGGCAAAAGCAAGAAATGACAGAAAAATCCTGCTGGTGATGTAGCTTGGGTATCCAGCCGCATGCTGATTCATGTTCTTTGCTCTACCTAAACTGTTTAAGAAAATAGGAATTCAGTTAGCTGGCTTGGGTCTAATTAATTGTTTGTAAGTTTCTTTATTTAAAAATAATTTTCAGAAATATCCAAAGACCACATTATGTAGGCTTTAAATAGTGGTGTCATTTACAGCCAGATATGTGGTCAAACAGACAACTCTTCGGGCCTGTGTCTGGTCTCATGCTCGTGTGTGGCTCTCATTGTTGCCTTTTTTTTTGTTTCTTGTTTGCATAAATGGGAGCATTTGGGTGTTGTGAGAGAAAGGGAGGCTAACAGTTGTTTTTGTACACTGGCCACACTCTAGCAACCTTCAGCACATCTACAGATGGAAAAAATAAGTTTAACCAGTTCATTGTAAAAATGTATAAATATATATATATGTAATAATTTTTTTAAAGCATTCCAAAAACAAGCAGCTGTTGCTTTAAGTCCTAATGATAGGAGTCAGAGCAGAGATGTTAAGCTGCAAGCATTGTAGCTGGCTATGCACTGTGCTCTTTAGATCTGTTTTATAAATATGGTTGCTGTCAGGCAACATCTGTTTCCTTGGTTGTGGTGAAACTGAATAAAGGGGGTACTTTTAATTCCCAATGGTATCACGTTGCTCCACTTTACTAGTTGTATGCATTGTAAATCCACAGATTGTGCATTCTTGGTTTAGGGGGATGTTTTGCTAGCAAATCATCACTGTGGTAGTTGAGCAAATTAAACCTCTTGAGATCTTCTAGCCCTGAAGTGGGACAGAAGTCGAGAGCTGCAGCTGGAAACACGTCCTTGCTTTGTGTTCTTAGATAGGTGCCTGATCCTGAACTCTTTCCACCTGCACATACTCATTGCAAATCTAAACTGGTGTTTTACTTCTGTGTCTTGTCTATGTCAATATCTTCATCATAATGTAAATGAATTCTGTATGTTAAAGTATGTGCTTTAAAAATTGTGAGTACATCTGTGTATAAAGGATTTCCTCTGTGTATCAGATGCCTGTAAAGGTAAGCAAAGGAGTGTAATTTTGGCTAGAATTATGAGGTAGGTGGGATAAATAATTGAGACCTGTACCAGAGAATTGTGTATATACTGTGTCTCCAAAATTTCTCAGAACCGTCTCGTCTTATCTTCAAGTTGTACTTGACTTTTCACAGACTATCTTCTAAAATATCATACTGGTCTTGATTTTCAGTCTAGATGTTTATAATGCACACACTTCAGTTTCTGTCCACATCAGGAAACTGGAATCTATTGTAGTAAACTTTAAATACTGCGCATTGTAAAAGCTTCATTATACTGTTGCTCTCTGAATGATAATTAAGAGGTTTAACAAAGAAGGTACATCAGAAAAGAAGTTAAAGTCTGTTTGTGTAGGACCCACAAAAATGTAATAAAATATAAAGTGTCTCACTGTATTTGAAAAGTGTTTTCTTCTTTTTTTCTAGAAAATGGAATAAATGGAACAGTGACCTCAAACGGAGCAGACTCGCCTCGCAGCAGGAAGGATAAATCCTCGTAAAACTGGGTTTTATTAAGTTAATTGACTAATGTCCCCAAAGAATCTGCTTTTTACATGGATGGCCCTTCAGCACTAGAGATATTATGGATTAAAGAAAATACAATTCATGTTTTTTGATTATTGCTGTTGTTTTGAGAAACTTTTTTTAAAAAACCATTTTGACTAAGGGAAAAGGTTTATCTCTCTTCAAATACTTGGGGGGAGGATTCAACACTTTTTAAAAAACATTGACACTTTTTTAAATATTTACTGTGATGAAATAACTTACTTAATGAGGATCACTGTTGCAGTGTATTATTTCCTTCCAGTTTTTGTAATCTTGGTGATACTGTTCTACCAACTTCACTTTTTCCAAGTTCCTCAAGAAGTATTGCAAAATTGAAGTAAAAATATAGTATGCATTTTCAGATACTCTGGGTTTACAGTTAATTACCTTGACTCAAATTTACATTTCAGTTTGGGATTCCAAGACCACACCAATAGGCCACTTTATTTGGTAGTTACCAGCTGCACAATGTCTGCTCTAATTGCCCCATATCATTAAAACAAAACTGAACTAATTGGAAATGTTGCAGAGTCTTATTGTTTATTGGTTAGACATCTCTTACAAGGAGCACAACACCTTTTTGAGATACAGCTTTTAGCTATCTCTATATATAGCTACCTGAAAATTAGAAGGGAGGGTGTATGGTCATAGAAGGAGTTGATTTGAGTAGCACTGTCCACTTCTGTCTGTGCTTTTGGAGTGTACTTATCTTGGAGAATTAGTGTGTGTTGGACCTTCTCTGAAACCTTGTCTGCCTGATTGTACGGGTGGAGGTTATTACAAAGTGTTGTGTTTGTTTTGGGAGGCAATTAATGCCCCCTGAAGACAGAATTAGATAAATGGATCAAGTGATGAGAAACATTCCTTTATTCTAACTGCTTTGCTTTGTTTCACCTCTCTTAGGAAATAGTTTGATTTCTTCTATATATATTTTTATGAAAAAATATTTAAAAGCTACAGCTTCTTAAAACTGATTTATTGTGACCTCTGCTATGACTGGAAAAATCTAAATTTAAGAATTTTTTCATTATCTTTCATAATTGTATTCACTATGAAACTTTGTCCAGTTAGTTTTCCAGTTTAATATGCAGATAATGTTTCCTCTGTACACTTTTGTAATGGGTATAATTCAACCTGTTTCACTTGAGAATGAGTGAGACAGTTATTGCAGTCTTAAGAAGTTGCTGAATTAGTCTATCAAGTTAACCCAAGTATTGAACTGCTTATTGATTAAGGAGTAATTATGAGCAATCAACCTGATAAATAAAATAATTTTAATTAAAAACTGTTACTATAATTGAGTTTATACCCAACAAAGTGATAAATCTGCATTCTGTATTTTCTACAGTTCAATTGCTTACTATTCAGAATAAACGTTTCTAGTACAAAATCCTCACTACAAGCAACTATCCATTCTTCAGTTCTTTAGTGCTATTTAGAATTATTACAGTATAATTTATTACATGTTTCAGCTGATTACAGTCACAATTCCCAAGTATTTGGTTCACAGCTCCTGAAGTGGACTTGGCAGACTTGTACTTGCTTAGCTTGAGAACTCTGGGGCAGTGTGCCCTGTAAAACACCCAGTCTGCTTCAGCAGAAGTAGGGATCCCATGTATTGGGGTTGGAAGGGGTAGAACTGTGAATCTGTCCAATCTGACCATGAAACTGGAAAACTGGAACTCGGAAATTTTGAGAGAATCGTGTACATTATATACTTGTTGTTCAAAATGATGTTTTGTGTCTGATGTTTCTAGAAAAACCTTCACAGATTCTGTGTGCCTTGCTCTCAACTTGTACCTTAAGCCAAAGGGGGTAAATTTTAAGTGTCTAGTCTGGTGCTTGGACTCTAAATCAGTTTGCTTGTGATATCTGGTTGTACTGGGGCTGAAAGAAACATAAAGGGTGGAGGAAAAAATTATGAAGAGCATTTAAGGTACTTCTTGAGATCTTCAAGACTTATAGGAGTCTGAGGGTTGTAATAGTTGTTTCCCTAAGGCAAACTCAAATGTAAACCTCATTCTTTGGCACAGTAGTCTTGAAATGTAAACTTCAGGTTAGTTTCCAAAAACTTCAGAAGAATATATTCTTGACTGTTAATACTGACATTGCTTTTTGTCTCCTTTTGGCCTTATGGACAGACATTCTTGTCCTTTGGATATTTACAGAAGCACTTTTGTTTCCACAATGGCTTAATATTCATCATTGCCTTATAGGAGTTGTTGGTATCTGCCAAGTAATAGAAAGTAACAACAGTTGTTCTAGAACTTGGTTAGAGTATTGGAAGCCAGTATTTTCTGCTTCTTCTCTCATAACAAAAAATACATATTTATCATGTTTGATGAGGCAAGAGCAGTAATTTTTAATTATCTGCCTTGGGATGGAAACACTCATAAACTTAGAAGATATTGAGACTTCTATTTCTAGTTTGATATTATTTGTTTTAGTGTAAGAGTACTGTTTGGCTGGATAACTTCTTTTGAATTGCTTAAAATTGATTTTCAAATGTTATTGCATTTTTGGCTCTTTGTTTGTAATCTGGGATTCAGTAAGATGGAAGAAGATTAGTTGTCTAATCATATTTTCTTAATTATGGCATCAAGAAAATTAGAAATGGAAATGACTGAGGAGTTCATTATTATATCCTACACCAAATAAAATAGACAGTAGTTAATTTATCCTCATCAATTACCAGGTCCCACAAAGGGAAAGCTTTGTCCATTTAGATGGATTTAAATTAAATAATTACACAGACAGTGGGTAGGGTTTGTTGAGTTTGTTTTTTTTCTTAAACCTCCTTCTCTTTGCCCCATCTTGTCAAAACTTTTAAAGATTTAGCAACAGATTATTTCAAACCTTTTTTGACCCCCAGATGTATGTTTGGTTTATGTGCCAGAATATTCTCTCAAAAGCAGTATTTTACTTTTAAAGTGGTTCTATTTAATTTCAAAGTACAAACAAGGAATGCAGAGCAGCTGAAATTAATTTTCAGAGTTTTAGTTTTCATCTGGACACTTTCTCCTTGACTGGTTGCAAACACTGATTTCTCTTGTGTGAATCATTCATGAATGTGGAAATACTCTTTGGAAATACTGTTTTTCTGGTGATCCCGTTCCCAAACTTAGGAATGGTGATGGAATTTGCTGAGCATAGAAAATGCATAGACTGTTTCTTCTAACTTTAGGTAATGCTGAAGTTCAATTTTGTATGTTGAGATAATGCATTTAGAAAATCAGCAGTTATTTGTAAGCTTTGTTTGGTATTTTTTTAAATACTTTTTTCTTTGAAAATTTTAGTTGTATTTATGGAGTTACAGTGCCCAGAAACATAATAACCAGTGTGGTCCTCTGGTATAGGTAATTGGACTTCTGTAAAAAGAGTCAATACACATCTGCAGTCCTTTGTTCTTTGAAGATTTCTGACTGTGCCTGAGTTGATTTTGTTGGGGGAAAAATGGTATGAAAGGGAAGGGAGGATTTCCAAAGCCATGCTAGCATGAAAGTAATGCAGGTTGCTGCCAGAATTGTGGTTCTGTCCCTTGCCTTAGCTGGCACAAGCCTTTCTGGTTGCATGGTGAGCTAGACCAGGGAGCTGGTGCACCTGAAAACAAACATGTTTGGTTTTTTTCCATTGGGATAGTAACCCCAGAGTTTTACAAGTAATTATGTATAAGCAAGAAGAAAAGTTGCAGGGTAAAGATCAATCAGGTTTTAAGGCAGCTGCCCCTTTCAACAGCATGTTGCTTAAAAATTACACTAAATTACAGTGTGAGATCTTTGAAGGTTTCCAGTCACCAGTACCAGAAGGGACCTGGTCTCTCTAGCAGTTCCTACATGCCATATCCATTAAGTATTAATGGATTTTTTTCAGATCTTGTGGGGGAAGGGGAAATACTCATTGTGGTTTACTGTACCGAGATACCTTTTATCTGTCATCAGGGTTTCCAAGCAGTGCCAGAGGATACTGGCAGTGTAGAAATAGGGATTTTGAAAATGCAGATTGTCCTGAATCAAACATTACTTTCCCTAACAGCCAGGAAGCTATGGGGCTTTTTACTGTTTTGGTGTGAGGTATTTTCTTTCTCCAAATCAACACTTTATGTACTGGAGGAGATCTTCCAGAGAGCCTTGCAAGAATTGCACTGTATGCATGTCTTGGTACATGGAGGGGAGGGTTGTTTGGTTTCTCTTGTTTTCCTGTTTTCAGGAAGTTCACCAGCTGATTCCTAGGTCATACTTGGGTTTGGTTCCATTTGTGACTCAGCCCTTTGGGCCTGTGTTGTAAATGTTGGAGATTGGCAGTTTCAATAGGCTCCCTATGCAGCGGTGATCATTGCTGTCCTAATTGTTCTCTCTAGAAAATGTCAGTATTGAAGGGACTTGAACACAAAGTAGAGACAGTGGTGATGTTTGTAACATTTGCAGGCTGGTGGGAGCCTGCATACAGAGATGGTATCTGGAGGGGAGGCTGTGGTTTAATGCCTGAATCCTGTTATGCAAATATTTAGGTTATTTCTGGTGCAGGGTATAAGAATGTCCTACAAAATGAAGGCTTGGGGAATATTTAGAAAATCCTTTAAAAAGAAAAAGACTTCAAAGGACTGACGTCAGTTATCATCTGTTCATCATATTTGAATTTCTTACATTGTGAGCTGTGGATTATCTTTAGAGCACTGGATTAGCCCATGCTTGTTGGTTTGTTGGTGGGTTGTTTCATATACTGTAAGGTGTTGTGGTGGATGTCTGGTGAGTATCCCCTCTTCACACCGCTCCCTGAACTACTCAGTTTTGGATCTGATAACCCTAAATTGTACACAATTAGGAATTTTTGTGCTCTTCAGAACTAAAATAGGATCAGTGCTGGAGTGTTTCTGGATCAGATGTGCAAAAGAAATAAGCACATCAATATGCTAAGTGTCATGAGAACCTCCTTAATGGGAACTGAGGCTCTTTAGGATGAATAAATTGCGATACAACTTGGATATAGCTCACATCCACATAGCAAGTGCTGTTGTGGATGAAATGGGACTGCTGTGGGCATCTACCACTGTCCATTCCCTTTGGTGAGCAATGGGTGAGGAGTGCTGGGCTGCAGCAGCAGTAGGCTGACTGCTTTCTGCCTTTTAGAGAAGCTCTTTTGATGTTGCCATTTCAAAAGGCAACAACTCTTATTTCTGGTTTAAAAAAAAGCATACGGCCTAGTTTTGAATCCAATACACTTGCTCTTGATCTCTTTCTATGTGTCCTGTCACTTTTATTTTAGGTTTCTGCAGATACTTTAGTTTTATCCAGCTTGAGGATGGCAAGTCTGTGATGTGAGTGCCAGAAATGACAACTCCTTTTTCTTCTTTTGTGTCTGAAACTTTGCAGAATAAGAGCAGCTAAAGTGTAGCTTTATAATTCAATAGCGTTTCAGTATTCGTTCTTTGTCCGTATTTATTGTGGTTAACATTAAAGGTCAGGCATTTTCGTTCAGCACAACACAGTTGTAACTTCTTCATGCCACACACAAGAGTGTTAGGCAATTTGATATACTGAATTGAAAAAAAGAAATTAAGTCAGTCCGGTTTAACAGAAGTTGATATTCCAGGATGATTTTGCTTTGCGTGTTGCAGTTCACTCTCACTGCCTTTTTCATTTAGGAAATTGGGCACCTAAGATCTCTCAATCTCTAGACTGTAGTTTTGCTGTATACCACTTAAAAAATTATGGTCTAGAGCTTTATGTCTCCTTATATTCGCTTTTAAATGTTAAAGACTGTATCTTGCGTTGTAATCAACAGGTAAACATTCAGCCCGTGGTGATAAAAATACTGTAACAGGGTAGGAATTCAACTCTTGAACTCCAGACTAGAATCCGAGCCAAAACTTAACTCATGTTGTCACGCAGGTGATTCCTCCTCTTTGTTTCTTGATTAATCATTATCTTTGTTTTGTTTCTGTAGACTGTAAGTTCTTGTGGCAAGGGTTGTCTTTCGTGCGTATGTGTGCGTGCGCGTGTGTGTACCCAGGACAATGAGGTCTGGAGCCCCAGTCTGTGGAAGCTGTAATAAGCAATCACCTTGTTGTTGTTTTCCTGGATATCATAATAAAGAGTATCAAATTAAAACTGTGCTTGAATAGTCTGTTACAAAAATGGAAGCACATAAATTGCTTCTGGCCTCGCTTAGAGTCCAGCAGCATCAGGGAGATACTGCTCAAAGGCAGATGCAGCGTTTTCTTTGGGGAGCTTCACTTGAACCAGTGAACACCAGAGACAGGAAATCTGCTTAGGCTGAAGAGGAATGGCTCGTAACTCGGGCTGGAGTTGGAACTTGCACAAAATTATCAGGAGTTCAGGATTGATTTTCAAACCTTTTGTCAGCTTGAGAAACTGCATCGGCCCTTCCTCTTGGGAAGGGGAGAGTGGTTTGCTGTGATGTTTGTGCATGAACCATGAACCTAGAGAACACCAAGAACTGTTCTGGGCAGTGTCTGGGAACCTGCTATTCCAATGTCTCCGCTCCCTTCAACTGAACAACTTTTAAAGCCTTTGTAGACTTCAGCTTCCCTGATGCAGAAGAGAAAAATTTCATCCAGTCTGAACTGGAGCTTCCACACTGCTTTGTGGGTGATTTGGCAATGTGGTGGGATCTGAGAACTGTACCCAACTTAGGAAAAGTTAGACTGCTTTTAGAAAACTTTCACCACAAATGTTGCTTTCCATTAGGTTTGATTTGTTGCATTGTAGAGGGAATGTCTACAGATCCCATGAGCTCTGTATTCAGTTCAAGACACATCAGATTGTTGCTTTTGAAGAACTGTTGAACTACTTCAGTATTTCATTCTTTAAAACCTGCGTTTGTAACTTTTAAGTCCTCAAACTAATCGAAAGACAATGTTAAGTGAAGATTAGTCTTTCATGAAGACACGTCTTTTTCTTGACTTCATTGTTAGACATCATAGCTTAAACTCTGGCTTAAAAATAAATTGTGTTAGAAAATCAATGGAAAACACATGATTTCAAGAACCAGAGCTACCTTGCCATTGCTTATACCTGTCAGGTGACAGGAAATCTACTGTAAGTGGACAGGTAGATCTTGATGGGTGCATGGCATCTAAGATGATTGTAACAACTCTTACTTTATCTTTCCCCTACTGCACCTCTCAATAGCATCGTGTCACTCTGATGCCAGGTTTCGAGTGATCCAGCAAGTACGGATGGGAAGTGGAGCAGATGGAATCTGAGGAGTCAAATCACGTGATGAGTTTGGGATGTGGACAAAACAGCCACTAGAGGCCACCAAAGTCTGCGACAGCTGCGACTGACTCGGGGTGACTGGTGGCCAGCCGGAATGCCTCCAAAGGCCCACTTCCTTGCTGCCCTTTCAGGGAAAATTACTTGTTGTCTTTTAAAAAGTATTTCTGCTGGAACTCAGAAATCAGAGCATTGAATTAAATTAGACCAATCTCCTTGTAGTTTTGACGCAGTAATAAAACCTGGGTTATATCGTGCAGGGCTTGGAAGGTGTCCTAATTTGGCAAGAATCTACTTCCTCACTTCTGGTTGAGAGAACAGGATGTAGGCGTCCAGTATTAAAGCTTTTATCTTAGCCCAACACCTTAGATGAAAAACAGCATTGAGAGTGCAAAGTAAGCCTCAGATTGCATCTGCTGTCTGAGATCAGTTTTGTAGGCAAGGACACAGTACTGTGGCAGATGCTGCTTTCTTTGCTGAATCCTTGAGGTGGGAGAAAATACAGAAAACCTGCTCTATTTCCACCAAGTTTTAGGGCTTTCAAAATGAACTTATTGGTTAGAAAGGCTTATGAAATTGTTTCATGCACTGAAATTTCAGCTTTTATCTGCCAATGGGAGACCCTTCTTCGATGTGAGCTTTGTTTTTGGACATTTCCCTTTAGATGCTGCAGGAGCTGTATGAAAACTTAGCCTGCAGTTTTTAAAGCAACTTTTCAGAAAATACAGGTTAAAATTTGCAGCCTACAGATTTTTTTTTTTTACAATGATAAGGAAGTGTTTTGTTCTTTAACACATTCCTTCTTTTATATAGAAAAAAGTTTTGATGTGATGTTGGAAAACAGTGTAGTCCACTAATTTTTGTAGTTGTCTTTGGAGTAATTTTACCTTAGTTTGCCCAGAAAAAAAAAAATCCAAACATCTAGCTGTTCTGGGTCCTGATAGGATTGCTTTTGCTGCTGGAAAACGGTGCAGGGAAATCTATCACTGGAAAAATAATAAGAAATATGGCTCTCCTTCAGGAATTTCATGGGACTTTGGTGGAGTCTGGGCAAAATTTTCCTGTACATCTGGATTTGGGTAGCCCTGTTAA